GGAGGAGGAGGAGGAGGAGGAGGAGGAGGAGGAGTGGGAAAGGTTTATGGAGCAACGGAATGGTTCAAGGTTGGGAAAGGAATGTGCAAGATCTTATACCAATGCTTTAACTTAAACAAATCACAAGAATCGTTGAGTTAGACAAAGCAGAAATTCAGGTGAAAACTGCTGATGAAACCAGGAAGGCTGAAAATGAGAAAGATTTGGGAATCTTTTGTTGAAAGTGAAAGGAGAGAATGCAAAATCCCGTCTGCTGCTCAACATCTTAAAAAAATCAAAATTCAAAAGATTATGTTAACAGGAAATGCCAGCCCAAAGCAAATAGGGAGAGAAGAAGTTGAATAGTAACAGACTTTATTTACCCTCCTAGGATAAAGTTTGCAGAGGGATGGCAGCTACAGCCATGCAACAAAGAGACATTTGCTACTTGGGAGAGAGAATAGGGGAAATTGACACAGAATGTTAAACTGCTGAGACATCACATGGACAACCACAGTATGTATTGTCAAACCCATGCCTGCTCAGTTGTGACATATGGCTTTGAAAGATAGACCATCAGAAAAGCTAAGCAAAAAAAGATGAATGCTTTTAAATGTTGGTACGGGAGAAAATGGTTGACAGAAGCTTGGACAGCCTAAAGAACCAATCAATCATTCAACTCCAGATGAAGTCACACGGGGGTCCTCTCTAAAAGCACTAAAAAGGAAGCTAAAACTGAGATACATTTTAGGTACATAATGCAAAGGTGGGAGTCCTTGGAACAGGCTCTGGTGCTTGGTGGAATTGTAGGCAATGAAAAACAGGTGGACAGAAGGCAATTTGGCCAGGTGCCATCACAGATAATGGCCCAAGCAAAACCTTCCAATCCTGGTGAAAGGATGCTTGTTGGATCATGAAGTCTTACAAGCAACTGAACAATAAGAAGGCAATAATACTTAAGAGAGAAAAAATAGTAAAGGCACAGTGGCTTTGAATTATGTGCATTTCAGAAACAGCATGTAAAAAAGTTGTGACAGCCTGTTTTGCAAATAGAAATAACTATGAAGTAGTACCTGCACCTTTAATTAAAGCTGAGTACTGTGTTTATATCGTCACAACGGAAATTGTCAAATATTATGTTATATACTACATATACCCACCAGCCGAAGACAAATTTGTGAGGTGTTCCAAAATGCCACGAGTTGATGCAGATGTATATTTAAAATAGGACATTTCTGTGTTGGGAATTAATTGTATATTTATTTTCAATTAATTCAATTTTGTACAAGAAAAGAACTATCTGATAGGAGAGTTTCGTTTGCAAGGGATTTAAGTGAAAATCTCGTGTTCCAGATGTCTCCGTTTGAAGGTGGATGGAACCTTCTCTAAAATAGGGAATACATTTTCGAGCAAGGATCATTTTAACGAAGGGTATTCAATCTAAAGACAGAAATGCAAACAGCCAGGGTTCAACATGCAGCCTTAGTTATCAAGTGCCTGACTTCAGAGACTTGGAATCCCTGTTTTCTCACACTGTCCATGATTTGGGGGTAAACCTGCAAGACCTGGCACCTCAGAAGTGATTTTTCCCCCCTCAAATATCACGTGAGATGATTGTCTGCGATGTTCTGCCTGAGGACGGCATTGCCCACAAGCCATGGCTCATTTGCTGCATGGCAAAGTCAGCGCAAACCTCCTCTCCTCCTTCTCCTGCAGGAATTGGATGCTGGGCAGCACCCACCATTCCATCCCTCAAGGAAAGAGCTCCCGGCATGAATGGGGAGAAAATGAAACGAATCCACAGACTGAATGGGGAACCCGCTTCTCTGAAGCCGGCACCAGGCTCTGAAAAAGCAGCCTCATCACTGTCCCCTCTTTTCAAGGAAAAGCCCCTGCCCCAGAGGAAGAAAGAGACATCCACCCCCTACACAGCCTTTTGTGTCGGTGTGCAAGGCCACCGTGGCTTTGGAGGCACCGGTCCTTCCCTCCTTCGCAGTCAGAGTTCAGTGGGCACCGAAGAGTAGCTGCCAAGCCCAGAGGCCTGGTCCTGGCAAAATATCCATCCGATAGGCAAGTTTAGTGAGTCTTCATTCCCACCAGGCAAGGCTAGAAAGAAGAGATACAGGGGAATATATAGTTTGCCCACATATAAGCCAGTTCTACCTAACCTCAAATATTTCAGGTTACAGTTGAACAAAGAGGCATTTTGATTTAATCTCCATCCGAAAGAGGTAGTGATTATGGCTAAGGAGAAGACAAAGATAACATTGTTTGTCTGAAATTATAGTATTACCAAGTGACACGTGTTTTGCTTCTGACGCTTGCTTTTTTGCAAAGAAGGCATTTTATCTTTATGCAGAACAGGAAGTGCACCATTTGTTCTGTAGAGTACTAATTAATTCTCCCATTCGTCTCCTTTTTAGATTAAAATTATAACCCTTCCCCCACCCACCCACCTCCACTGCCAATTTGAAAACTTTGGGCCTTGATTTCCTTTGGTTCTGACATCTGATCAGCAGCACCAGCCCCTTTTAAGCACCCACAATCTTTGCTCCCCAGAGCTGGAGACCCCACTGTAGTCTGCAAAATAGAACTGATTTTCTGTCCGTCCATCCGTCCGTCCCCCATCATTTTCTCTTCCTTTTCTACGCTCCTTCTTTTGTCACACATGCTGCCTCATATCAAGCTTTTCGTCCCCTCCTGTCCTATTCTAAAGTCATTTGGACTGTATAAAATAATGAAGACCCCGTCCAGTTCTTTTGCCACGTCTTCCATCTGTTTCTCTGTTAATCCTATTTCCTGTACAAAGGTCAGACACATAAAAGTCACCGCTTGCAATTTAACATGTTATCAGATGTTTGTTTTCTTTTATTTAGCCAATTCTAGGACATAGTTCAGATATTAATCTTAGAGAGTGTTTAGATTTCATTACCATTTGATCTATATATTTCACTAGCCCAGATGAGTGAAAATAAACAGCTTGTATCAAGTTACACAAATTGCATTTCTGGATGGATTTAGTGGAGAATGTGATGGATTGAGGCTTCCATTGTAGTTCCTTTTCACTAACTCAATGAAATAATTCTGCAGTCATTATTTATGCTGAGTTTGGGATTCATATTTATAATTCACCAAGAGATTTCTCTGAAAGCAGTTAATGCTCTCAGTGACTGAATGCTTTCTCCCACCCGCAACCCAAGAAATTACATACGCAGAATAGTCAGACTGCTTACTAAGGAGACAGAAACAAAACGCAATTCCAGGAAAAAAAAAATAGGGGCAGGTGAAATAAATGTGCAAGGTGTTGTGTGCAGTAGGGATCCAGGTTAGCTTATTCTGCACTGGCTTCGTGGCTTGCACTTCCTGCTGCCTCATATGTCTCACAGGTACATTTGTTGCTGCACCCACATGCACACGCACACACACACACACACACACACACACACACACACACACAATCTGTGAAGATGCAAGATTAAATTTTCCATTGCCACTTTTGCAGATCACAGCCCGTCGACAGTGGAAACATATTTATGACGAATTAGGTGGGAACCCCGGGAGCACCAGCGCAGCCACTTGCACACGCAGACATTATGAAAGGTAAGAGAGCAGCCCATGAAATGCTTATCTAATAAATAAGGACAATTTAGTCGGGGAGCCTTCAAAGGCTTTCGCACAGAATTGGCTGGAGGGGCCCGGAAGGCTCTTTCCTCCAGTCCCTGCAAGGGCTTCCACGCCCGTGTTAATCCTTTGGTGGGCCTTGATTTCCACCTGTGTTTGTTTCTTCAGTCAGAAAGCCAAAGGCTGGCTTCTGGTTTCTTTCATTTCTCCAAAGCTTTTATTAGCCCGAAGCTCCAACAATTAAGCAACAGGGCACCAATGGGAGATATTTTAGAGATCTGATTGGCTCTGGGTTGCCTTTTTTTTAAAAAATATGCAGATATATGTAAATGCAGCAACAGTGAGCTTGTTTGTTCCACTCAGGAGAGGGCGAGATTGCGTGCATTGAGATTGATGGGACCGTTGCATATTCCTTATTCTTTTTTTCCTTCTGTAGCTATCAGCCATTTATCTTTTGAAATGTGAAAGACTTGCAGTTTTATAAGCATTGATTTTATACCCTGAGTTAATAATACTTTCCAAAGCTGGGTATCCAACATACATCAGACAACATGATACGGCTGTGCTGCTTTCTTAAAAGAATTTTTTTTTTAAAAAAAAATATGGCCATTAATAAAACATGCCCGCTTTGAAGCTCTGAAAGCACAATGTGATCTCATGCTCCAAATCACTAACCAGTTGCTGGAGGGGCCGAGGCAGCTTGTGCTGAGCTCTGCACATGGGTCACCGGCCAAGCGGCAGGGCCTCTCCCCAAGTCTTGATCCGTTAGCCACACAGGTGCAAGAGAGGTGCTAGTCCTCATCAAGGGCAGTTGTGTCACATTCTGGGAGAAACCTGGTCTGCTTGGGAAATAAAGAGCTGGGAAAGGGGGCTGCCCAGCTCTAACAGCGCTAAGGAAGGGAGGCCAGGTTGTCTCTCGGCGCCCTTTGGGTTTGGGGGATTTTGGGCCCTTCCTATCTGAGGCCAGCCTTGGACTGTCACCTCCAGGGGAAATTAGAGTCCTTTCTTTTATGAGTTTTTCCTCCCGGCTGACTTCACTCGATGAGTAAAGGAACAGAGGCCTCCATCCCATACAAGGTTCTGAACATCTGAACGGATTGGTCAATAACTATTTGAAACCCATCTTCTGCCCAGCTAAGCAGGGCTGGCTCCAGTGAGGAGCTGGACAAAGACGCCCCAGGATGGGCATGTGAAGCCCAGGGAGGAGGGGGGGTCACGAAAGCTGTTGGGGAAAGAAGGACAAAGCACCCCGTCCTCTTGCGGGGAAACCCTTCCCAGATGCTACCACATCTTTGCGAGAAGCCCGGTGCGACTTGGCATCTTCTTAATGCTCTGAATTGCAAGGGAGCAGCCCCTGACCTGCAGGTGGGTTCAGTCCCGAGGCTGAAGAGCATCAGCTTCCTGTCCAAAGTTATGAAAAAGGAGGAGGAATCGTGGCCTGTCCAGCCTGGGGCTCCCCCTCCGCTGCTTGTTCTCTCCAAACCCGCCTCCTCTTGGTTCCCCTTCTGCCATCTTTAATCCCCAAATTATGAACACACACACACACACACACAAACACACAAACACACAGAGAGCCTGTATTGTGGAGGCAGCCTCTGCTCTGCCCCCAGACAGGCAGAAGAAGATGGTTTTGGGGACACTTTGTTGGCGTATTCCTGTTGTGGCTGGTGGCGGCTGTGAGTTTCCTAAGTGGTGTTCTGGACAGGCATCAGGACCTTTTGTGGGCCTTCTTAAGGAGTGTCAGTGCAGGCCGCTCAGCGGACCTTTCTGTGGGATCCTTTACGGTGCACAAACGCAGAATCATCGCCGCAGCTCCAGCTGCTGTCGGTTGTCTTCAGTCGGTGCAAACCCTTCACCAAAAGGTCTTTGCCAGCCCAGTTTGGCTTCCAGCCTCCGCCTCTGCCGGGTTTCAGCGTCAGTAGCAGCTCTTGCCTGTGGTGACCTAGTGCTCTACGTAGATGCTTAGACTGCAGGTGATGTCCTAGCATTATCAGGTAGAAAATGCGCCCCCCCAGGGAGGAGACGTTGCTGTGGTCCCAGTTCCTCACGCACAAAGTGCACAAGGCACTATGTTGATTGTGCGGCTTTATTTCTCCGCTGGGATCGCCTCAGGCAGGGGTCTGCAACCTTAAACACTCAGAGAGCCATTTGGACCCGTTTCCCACAGAAAAGAAAACACCGGGAGCCAAGAATTTAACCACCGGTGTGACTGGGTGGGTGTGGCTAACTCTGCATCACTCACTCCCCCCCCCAGTCACCTCCTGCCCTGGAATATGGAGCGAGTTCATTATTCCTTCAGTCAGTCAATTAAATCAATTTCTATAGCTACCAAACTCATCCATTAAACCTAATATAGGCCTGATTTGATTTGTCCTTGCTGTGATGCGTGTGTGTGGTGTGTGTGTGTATATGCAGAAGAATCCCAAAGGATTTGCTCTTGAGTAAATGCACCTCTTTGCACTGAAGGGGGCTTGGGCAGGACTGCATGTGATTTGCCATTCATCCTTTCCCCCCCCCTCCACCCTCTAGGATGAAAAGTGGGAAGGATATTCAGAAATTTTGAAGGAAAGAAACAAGTGGAGCTGAACTTTTTAGATATTTGATGTGGCTCACTCTGCCTTTCTCATTTGTCATAGGCACATTTGTCCATGAAATCTCACACCATATTTGGTTTAAGTGCGTATCATTTATTAGCATCTCATGGCAAACTTAATAAATGAAATCAATAAGTATTCAATAGCATTGACAAAACCAGCTTACATGCTCACATCCTGTGATGACACCTTTAAGGCCACCAAACATCTCCCTCTTGCCTCTCCCAGGTCCTTGGGGAAGAATTCAAGGGTTGGACAGAAATTCCACGTCCAGTCTGGACATCTGGATGACTGGGTGACCAAGCATAATAATAATAGCAGCAGATGCTAGATGCTGTCACACGCCAGCTCTCAAATCCTGTCAAACAGCAGTTCATCACAGTGAAACAAAAATATTACATACTATTGCACACCAGTTATCAATCTTGTCAAATCCTAAGTGCCATTGCATGCCAACTTATGAAAACTGTCAAATGCCATCTGTCAAATCTGAAGTACTGATATTGATGTTTAAAATCAAGTGTGTTGATTTGCAGACCTTAGACCTCAATTGCTTGATGCCTGTTGGAATTCTGAGGGAAATTTCAAGTCACGTTCATGATATAAACCTAAAACCCAAGACAAGAGAAAGGTTGGTGTTTTATTTGTCCTCTCCATCAGGACTTACTAGGGTTGGCCAGGCCAAGCTCTCCCGCACAGGTGCCTCTCTCTGTGTTCCTGGAAGGACCAAGGTCCAGGTTTTTTGTGTAGGTTTCTCCAAATTGTGATCGTAAGGTTTGGTCTGGCCATGAACTCTGCCTGGAGATGTACCCCGCGTGCTAAACCACCGTGATTTGTTGAATCAGTCCTATTGGGCTGAGTCACAGAACATACTAAAGGAAAAATATCTCAATGAGATTATGATTTAGGACTGCAGGATGCAAGCCCAGCCTCCGTTTGCTTGCATATATTTTAGTGGCTTGTAAATTCCTTCTCTTATCTGAATATTTCTATTCTTAAGGCCTTTCTTTGCACTATGGCAAATTTATTTTTGGCCACATAATCCCATTGCATAATGCTACCATCGCACCTGGTAGCTCCTCTCTGCTAGCATTCTGTGGATCTGGGGCACTCAGAAACGTTACTCACTCGAGGAAGATGATTTCCTTTGGCTGTTTCTTGGAATAAGCCTCAGGGCTGGTTAGCAATGTTCATAAGTGAAAACATGCTAAACCTTTGGACCGGGATCTGTGAACAGGAGGGAGGACTTGGTGCTCCCAGCACAGCCAAATAGCTGGTCTTTTCTTCACTGCTTCAGCTGATTTTGTGGCCTAAAGATCTTCCTTTTAGCAGGAGGCTCCTTCGCCTGCACAACAGCCGGGGATTGCTTCGGGCACAGGTCGGAGGCTGGTCCTCTTCCAGTGTCCAGCCTTCTTCTCACCCTGGGAGAAGGGAAGGGTTTGGGCACCGTGAACTCCTGGGGAAGTCGACCAGGAGCCACTAAGAATTTGCAACAAGTGGAGCAGGAACCTTCTCCTAGATTGCAGGAAAAACTGCACCCAGTGTCAGTCCTGCCCCAACTTTGTCCCTTAAGTAAGAACGACCCTCAGCTCCATTCGGTGTGAAAGGTTTACTTTACTGAAGGCCAAGTGGATTACAGTATTCAGTAGAGCGTTAACTTCCCTAGTTAACTTTTCCCTGTTTGCCCCTTCCCCTTGGTGATCCCTCATTCTCCAATCCTAGTCCTATAAAATGTTTTGGGAATGGTCTTTTCGGTTGTAGAACAGGCAGTTTGTGTTTCAAGAAGTTTAATCAAAATGCAGTTAAAAGTCATAAGCCATCATTGGGAGTGTGTGTGTGTGTGTGTGTGTGTGTACGTACACACACACACACACACACACCATAACAGGAACCGGAAATTGCCCCACAGGAGCAGATAGAGGTAAATCCTAAGAGAGGCAGGAAATACATCACAGAACTATGGAGATGAATGCTAGAGAGGGATCGTGCTACCTACACAGCAGACATAACTCCTATAACAGTTTGGAGGTGCATGCCTTTCCCACCTGTCTGACCTTGAAGTTATGTCTCTAAAAGATATGATGTTAGCCTCCCCATAACTCCTATCTAGCTCCCTGCCCCCAAAGTTCACGGCAGACTGGCAGCTAGCAAATGTGAAGCACAGGCAACCAGTTCTATTCACACAACCAAGCTGGGCTGAAAGGGAAACGGAGTGCTGAAAGAACTACGAAGACATATTGCTCCTTGGTGAAGAAACTGAATATGCAATGTCCAGATCGGAAAGTTGATTTAGTTAAGGCCTTAGAGATAACTCTGGAATAGGAAGTTGAAGAATTCCTTGGAAGAAAGCGGTGGCAACCCTTTCCACATTCTGGCTGAGAAAAAGATCAGGATGAATGCTAAAGACACACACACACCCAGCATCCCACATGGCTCAGAGGAAAGGGCACTTCGTTGCTTGAAGCAAATTGCCCGGTTTTGACGAGGCTTCCTCCTAAGGAATTCAGCATTTGAATGCAGCCTTGCAGGTTCATGGAACACTTTATATCAGGGGACTCCAACCTTGGCAACTTTAAGCCTGGCGGACTTCAACTCCCAGAATTCTGGGAGTTGAAGTCCGCCAGGCTTAAAGTTGCCAAGGTTGGAGATCCTTGCTTTATATGGTTTGGCAATCCTGCATAAAATTGGGAATGAGGAAGGAAAAGTATAAATGCTGGAAGGAGTAGCCCCCTCTGCAGAAAATGGAGCTTCTTCTCTTTTGCCTCTTTGTGGGTGCAGATCCCTCTGGCTACTCCATCCTTCTCACCAGCCTCTCAGCAGAACGGAAATGGGGTCAGGATGTGTATTAATCTCTTGATGCCCATGCCAAGGGCTGGTAGGTCTTCTTTTTTTCCCCAAAGAAACGTTTTAAGAACTAGGAATTTGAACGTGGTTTTCTGACATCACAGCACCAACCCTGGGCAGAGTTTAAAAGCTATCATGCGAAGCGCCTGTAGGCCAAACAAGGAATAATGGATGGAAACGGAACAAGAAGAGATTCAACCTGGAAATAAGGAGAACTTTCTGACAGTGAGAACCGTCAACCCATGGAACAGAAGTTGCCCTCGGAAGTTGTGGGAGCGCCATCACTTGAGACTTTCAAGGAGAGATTGGACTGCCATTTGTCAGAAATGGTGTAGGGTCTCCTGCTTTGGCGGGGGGTTGGACTAGATCAGGGGTCTCCAACCTTTTGGATCTCAGGGACCACCAAACTCAGAATTTTAAATCCTGCAGACCAGAGAGCCTGGGAAAATTCCCCAAAAAGTCTGCAGAAAAATTCCCCACCTCGTTTTCCTACCAATCGATCATTCTTTATTTGGGATCGCAGGATACCGTCTCCAGCTCTGTTCTCAGGGGGAGAGAGAGAGAGAGAAAGGGAGAGACTTTTGGCTTCATGCAAGGAAAGCAGCAGAAGCAGAAGTTTTTCTTTCTCTCCCCCAAACTCTGCCAGAAATGAGTCTTTTTGAGACTTGTCGTGCTGGTGCAGCCTCTTGGAGCAGGAGGCCTTGCAGGGTCCCAAAGACTCATTTCTGGCAGAGTTTGGAGGAGAGAAAGAAAGACTTTTGCTGCTTTCCTTGCATGCAGCCAAAAGCAGAAGAAAGAAGCAGAAAGAAGCAGCCTGGTGGCCAGATGAGGCGCATGGGGCAAGTTCCCACCCTCCGCCCTTTCCACCCTCTCCTCACTACCTCGTGTTGTTCGCAATGCAAGTGACACAAGCCTTGTGTTCCCACGGGCCATGTGCGCGGTCCAGCCTTGTGTTCCCGCGCAGCCTGGATTAATTGCTTTCTCTGCGGACCACCAGTGGCCCCCGGCCTACTGATTGATGGCCATTGGACTAGATGACCTGCAAGGTCCCTTCCAATTCTGATGACCTGTTATCATTGAATATCCTCGCCTCTTTCAACAGAAAAGCCCTGTAATACTCTACGGAGTGAAGGCATCTCCAGCCTTCTTGCAGTGGGGCCCTTAGGTAACTAAAAGCAGGCCAATAAAAGCCTATTGACTAAACGCAGATCTGCCCAAGTCTCCAGTTCTACTGGGTTGGTCTTTGACACCAGCTGAGCGAAGGAGGCTGTCTCCAGGAAAATCCAGCCATTCCTGGATGGTGCTGAGGTCCCCCATCAAGAGAGCAAGAACGGGAGGATCAATTTTTTGCTGTGGTGTTTTGTCCCACTTGGATAAATAACAAGAAGCTCTCTAACTTCCATTGCTGTCCCCAGGGCTTTATCATTAAGCTTAAACAACGGCACCCGTCAAGCCTGTCACTGAATAAACATCTTTTCAATTATGTGAGCAATGGATGCTTTAACAAAAGAACCATTGAACAGTCTGAAAGTATGTTTCTCTCCTCCCCTCACCAATAAGTACAAAAAGAAAATTAAAATTAAATCTCTAGCGGTGGAAGAATGCAATTATTAAAGCAGACCCTTAAGTCTGTATTCCAAGAATCTTCCCATCAGTTTAAAACAATACCCACTAGTCCCTGAGAAGGGATGATGATCTCCCATCCAAGCCCTGAACAGCTAAGCAAGATCATGCTTAGCTTCCAGCTCAGACCAGGTCAGCCAGTTGCTACCTGCTGCTGAAATCAATATCTCTAAAAGCCTTAGATTAGGGAAGATGAACAGCCGACTGAAAATGATCAAACATTGGTATCTCCCAATTGATTCTGTTTTGTAAGATCAAAACAAGTTTTGTTCTATCTGTTTCTGCTGAATATCTGCAAGACGTTCCTTTTTGGAAGGCTTTAGAGGAAGCAGATGGCTAGTAATGAACACCTACATTTCTTTGCTTTTTTAATCCTATTTTTAAGGGTTTGGATCATTTCCATAGGGAGAATTAATGATTTATTATTTATGTCCATACAGCTATCTCTGTCTCTTAGAAATAATTACCTCCAGAGGCAATTGAAATTCTGCCTTATCATGTTTCCATTTGTCATACTGAATTCTAGTGTTTGTCTCTTTTCCTTGATGCAAGAGGCTACAGGGACCGGTTATCATGGCGGAGGTCTTAGCAGGTGGCTGAAGTTTAGATGTCAGACTTTGGGCCACCGAGTGACCACCCGCTGGCAGACTCTTCCAGATCTGGAGTTGACACCCTGATTGATGACTCGGAAGCAAATCCGCTGCTTCTCCGGTCCTGATTGGCCTAGAAGGGCCGCAACCCACTCAAATAGTTGTCTTCCCCAACCCTTGGAAGCCAGGATGGAGCTGAAGCTTGACCACTGACTCAGAGGCCTTCGTGGTCATACTTCATTCTACTATTAAATTGCCTTTGGCGTGAACTGCAGGTTCTCCGGGCACAATTCCAACCTTGGTGCCTTGCCAAAGAGCGTTAAAAATGGTGCTTGGATGTTGTTGTACTTAATCTCATCCCAAGGATTCTGTCTGGCCAATGCTGGGGGGAGGGGAACGATGCGGATGATGACTATGGTTTCCATAAAGAGCTGCGTCCTATGATTTCCTGAGAAAGAGCACAAGCCTTAATTGGGCTAGGAGCCTTTCACGCCCACACGCCCTCTTCAAGGGTTCCCTTTTCCCACGCGAGGAGAAACCATGTTGGCCAGAGAAGGACATGAGTGGGTCGGTGTGTGGTTTTATCTCTGCACTGTTTATGAAGTCCCAATAATGAAGACATGTTTGACATGCTGTGAAATCCATGTTTTTAATGGGAAGTTTCTGCCTTTGGTGGAGGTGAGGAAAAGCCCCCGAGAATTTGTAAACATAAAATGTTCTGTTGGCAGTGAAGAACACACACACACACACACACACACACACACGTATTCCTGCAATTTCCCTGGTTTCGTCTGTTGGTCTGTCTTATTTAACTCATTGTAAGAAAGAAAGCTGAGGAGAAGGTAAGAGAAAAAAGGTGCCCTCCTCCTTTTCCTCCCCTCCCCTCTCCTTTCTTTCTTTCCTTTCTTTTCCAAAAGCCTGGCAGCTAGCCAGATGACTTACATTACTGTAATAGATTTGATGACCTCTGACTTCCGCTGCAGAGGCGTATGCTGAATTTTTCATTATATCAGGGGATACTGAAAGCTAAAAACTTGGGCCGGGAAGCTGCATTATTTAAACCAACATTCGGTTACACAGATTTTCTTTTCTTATTCCTTTAAAGGGAGGGGGAAATAGTTGCAATTAAATGTCATCTATCGCTGCATTAATAAGGATTAATGCAGTTCCAGTTTGTTCAATCAGCTTGTATGGGGTTGTTTTTTTTTTTTGAAGTTGCCATGATTGTTATTATTTTTTTGCAAAGGATAATCTTGCTTTTTATAGTCGTTGAATTTAATCAGCAGCTCAGTTGATAGCAAAGGCTTCCCTACTG